ACTGCTATTCCTGAAACATGGTTGACTCAGTTGTGACATCCCTCCCATCTCTGATGAAGTGAAAGGAACGTGACATATGCGCACAACACAGAGAAACAAAGCAAGTGCCAGCAGGTATGTTAACAGGAAGTACACAAAAAAGACAAAAAAGAGCTGGCATTCTAATAGGATTAGTTTTGTAAAAGTTGTTTCATGTCATTGAGATTCTTTGTTTCAATATGACGTGTCAAGTATCGTTAAAGTTTGGTTAGACCAGTTTTTCTTCATACAGAAATGATCTTCCAGAGATGCAGATGTAAAGTAGTAGCGCAACAGTATTTAGCGTGAGTTGTCAGCTGTTCATGGGGTTGGCAATTCCATCTCCCCTTTCTGACCCAAAAACACGACCTGATGCGTCCACCTGGATTTGCATGGATGCATCAGTGTGTGTAAAAATCTGCCTGTGGATGAGGCTGATAGTATAAAAAGTGCTGGATACAGTAAATTACAGTTAATTTACCTTGGAATCAACTATGACAATAGTTACAGCCAATATAATGCATAGCTGTACAATACAGTGGTGTAGACTCCCGATCACATGAGGACCTTGATAAAGGTATAGTCATTGCATCAACAGGGACCAAGGCCATTTGGCCAAGGTCAGCAGTGGCTTCTCTCTGACTTGTATATCAACAAGACATTAAAAGCCTATTGTTCGGGACTAGAATGAGAGAGCATATTTCTCCCACACTAGCTTGATGATTCAGTAGACAGACACTCACTCTATCTTTAACACCATTAAAAATGACCGTTTTGATAAAGCTAATAATTAGGGCTGGATGAGGCATCCCTGAACCCTCCTGCTGTTATGCTGAAATAGAACTAGCATGCTGGGAGCGTCCCATGATTCACTGAGTGTTTCTTCTTCATCCAACTCTTTTCAATCTGGGTTTATGCATCACTTTGCATTTAATTATTAGTTATTATTATTATTATTAATCTCTGCCTCAGTTCAACTGTGTGTCTTTTGTCCTGTCTCCCTCCCAACCAGTCGCGGTGGATGGTTCGCCCCTCCCTGATCCCGGTTCCACCAGAGGTTTCGTAATGTTTCTTCCCACTGTTGCCAAATGCTTGCTCATAGGTTTTTTCTGACTGTTGGGGTTTTCTTTGTATTATTGTATTTTCTTTATCTTACACTTTAAAGCACCTTGAGGTGAGTGTGGTTGTAATTTGGTACTATATAACTAAAACTGACCTGAACCTGTGCTTGTGTCAGATGCCTCACAGTATGAAGGCTCTACGTTTTAACCTGTCCAAAGACTTGCTTGTCCGGTTAACTGGTGATTATGAAGTGGCTCCTTGATGTGACAATACAGGGAGTGCAGAATTATTAGGCAAGTTGT